CTTAGGGCTTAGGATTTGGGGTTTAGGGTTTGGGGTTTGGGGTTTAGGATTTGGGCATATGATAGGAATCTACCTACAAGGGTCCTCATTTTCTTCTTATATTCCTACTATACTCTTGGGGTTGCCTTTTTGAGGGTCCCCATGTTACTCCTTTTAGCATGTACACGAAGCTAAACCAATGGGTTCCGGGTTTCGAGGCGTTCGGGGACTGAAATTCTAAATAACCTCCCCATTTTCAGGGTACAGGAGACCATACTGTTGGGGACTTTGGCTTCGTTGGGAGGGTTGCAAGCCTCCTAAACCCTAGAAAAACCTAAACCCTAAAATCCTCTAAACCTAAACCCTGAAAACCCCTAAACCCTGAAAAACCCTAAAACCCTCTAAACCCTAAAACCCCTCAAGCCCCTAAACACAACACGCGCAGCTGCCTGATAAGCCTTGGCAAGGCTACGTCCCAGGTTCGGGCTAAGCCCAGCGATGCCACATTCCTCCACCTGCGGGAGTTTCCCAAAATTCAGGGTTTTGGGTTTAGGGTTTTGGGTTTAGGGTTTAGGGTTTAGGGTTTAGGGTTGGGAGCCCCTGTAAGAAGGACTGCTTAATTCTGGGGTCTATGTCGGGGTGCCCTTGTTTAGGGAAACTAGCCTGTCTGGATTGGATACCGCCCCGGCTCACGAACAGCTGTGTAGTAATGATAACATGGCTATGTCTCTATGTGTGTATATAGGCCTGAGCGTTACTGTCACGACTATTATAGACTGTTTCTAGCTGGGGGCAGTACCAATGTCTAGGATTTCGCGTAGTTCCGGCTCTCGTTTGGAAGGTAATTTTGATAGGGATGGGAATATGTGGGAGTATAGAAGGAAATACATTTTTTCTTGGAAGGCACCATCAGTCTCCGGGGGTTCTTTAGGGGTTTGAGGTCTTTGAGGGTTTAGGGTTGAAGGTAACCCTAAACCCTAAACCCTAAACCCTGAACCCTAAACCCTAAACCCTAAACCCTGAACCCTGAACCCTAAACCCTAAACCCTTGAAGGTTTAGTGTGGGAGTTTGGACTTCGGGCTCCCTGCGCCGCGGTACTCTACCCTCTCTCACTGCAACTGCTTGCTTTGGGCTTCGAAATAAGAATCCCAAAAACGGGGACCCATCTTGGGAGTCCCTCAAGCCGGTGAAAAAGAATTTTGGGTGGTTTACGTAGGGTTTAGGGTTATTATACCCCATACTTTGGGCAAATGCCACTAACATAACATTCCCAGCCTTTCCCAAACCCTACAAAGCTACAAAACCTAAACCCTACCCTCCCCCAACCTAACAGGCCATCCCAGATAGCCCCCTTTTCAAGAGCAGTAGTCTCCAGGGGGCCTTTTGCAGGTTCCAGGTTAATGTGACAGATTCTAGACCTTTCAACCCTGTATATCCGTATACACCCCTCAATAATTCAATAGCTATCTCTCCCTCTCTCGCTCGCGCTCTCCCTCTCTCTCTCTCTCTCTCTCTCTATATATGTATATTTTTTATCTATTTATCTGTATATATACAATCCCAATATCCTGTATCCCTCCTGAAGATCCCTATTACCTTGCAAGACCGGGAGCCTGCATGTAGAAGTCCGGGGGTGGGAACTGAAAGGTGCCATCGTTCACAGGCACAAAGCTCATACCCTGGGCTCCTGGGGTTTAGGGTAAAGGTTTAGGGTTTAGGGTTTAGGGCTTTGGGTAGTCAGTGGGGATCTTAGGGCTTAGGGCTTCAGGGGGCTTTAGCGCTTTAGGGCTGTAGGGTCTATAGTCCCCTTAAGTAGATAGAATATGGCTTTGGGTATACTATAATGAGACCTCCATATACCCCATATTCTATCTACTTAATTACAGGGGACTATACCCTAAACACTAAACCCTAAACCCGAAATTCTATCTACTTAAGGGGGACTATAGGGGTTTAGGGTTTTAGTGCGTTATGGTTTTCAAGCCCTGGGTTGGCAGCGAAAAGAAGAGGGGTTAGGGTAAGGTTTTTTGGGGGTGAGGGGCGGCCTTCCCTGCCCCTGGGCTATGTGAGCTATAGGGTTTAGGGTTTGGGGTGTAGGGTTTAGGGGTATAGTCTAAACTCCTAGTATCCCCCTTCAAAACCCATATAGTCCCCTATATAGTCCCCTACATAGCCCCCATTTGAGGAGGTTAGAGTATGGCCCATGTAGTGATGATGTAGGGGTTGTAGGGACCTCGCGTAGAGATTATGCAGGGAGGATTATCACATAACTCCCATAACAGGAAGCCCCAAGAAAGACTCATGACGGGAACTCCCAAAAAGAGGTCCCAGATTATGGAAGCTCCGACGGTTGTTGTTCTAAGGGCACAGTAACCTCCACGGCTCCGCAGTCTAGCCGAGGCGCGCATCTGCGCAATCCGAATCGCGAAATCAGGGTCCTGCAGCACACCTGACCATTGCCAAAAGTAGGGGTCTGGGCTGTGCACCCCAAAAATTTATCAGCCATACTCCTTGTATGGGGGCATGTAAGGAAGGACCCGATTTCTTGGAAAAAACCCACCTTTGCTGAGTAATACTAACGCAAAGGAGGCGTTGCTGGCTGCGGGGACGTCTTTGGCACTCCGCACGCGGAAGGTGGCGATTCGCATCTGCTGCTGCACCATCTGCTGCAGGATTAGCCTCAAGGAACTTGGCACAGTAGTTCCCAATGTAGACCCACTAACTCTCTAATCCTTACTATAAGGACGCCCGAGTTGGTACCCCTACTTTTGGGAAGCTATCATATGAGCTATAGTCTAAACTCCTAGTATCCCCCTTAATATCCCTATAATAGTCCCCTATATAATCCCCTATATAACCCCCCTTTAAGGAGTTTAGACTATAGCTCATATGGGCGGGAAGGACCGAAGGAGAGACAGCACAGGGACAGAGAGAGACAGAGAGGAAGGCAGGTCATGGAACAGCTAATACAGGGGTTTCGGGTTTAGGGTTTAGGGTTTAGGGTTCAGGGTTTAGGGTTTAGGGTTTGGGGTTTAGGGGGATAAATAATTGCCAATATCATTTTGAGGTCCATTTGAGGTACCGTAGACCATAATTATATAAGGAATATGGAACCATAATATTGGTAATTATCTCGGCCCCTATATTATGCTCCTAACACTACAAAATCATGCATGACCTTATTATACTGTAGCACCATACTTCGCAACGTATAAGGTATTTGGGGTCACGCTGGAATTCTATTATTGACTCTTTAAACCCCCAATAATCACAGCTTCCATTACATATTCCCATCTTCTTTTGCATTTTGTTCTTCACTCCCTAATTACCGCAGATCCAGACTTTTTTGTACCCACTGTTAAACCCTAAACCCTAAACCCTAAAAACCCTAAACAGTAAACCCTAAACCCTAAAAACCCTATACCCTAAACCCTTAAAAACCCTAAACCCTAAAAACCCTAAACCCTAAACCCTAAAACCAAGGTACGCAGTGGAGATCGCCTCGGGCTCCAGCTCCGTGGAGCACAGCAAGATGCGTGCACCTAAACCCCAAAAGTGGTCTAGGGTTCAGGGTTTAGGGTTTAGGGTTTAGGGGGGTGTACCTAAACCCCAAAAGTATGTAAAATAATAACCCTAAACACCCAAAAATAGCCATAAAGGCCATTATTTCACATACGTTCAGGGTCCAGGCACTGGTGACTGAGCCCTGTGAAGCCACTTCGCGCTTCGGGCCTGGCAACTGGCCTTTGGTTAGCTGGGAATTAAGGAATGGAATAGAAAACGGACACTTCTATAATGTGTTACATTGGGACCCTTGAGCCCTCAAGGGTACAAGGGGTTATATAGGGACAACTACAAGGATCCATTCCTTCATTCCTAGCTAACCAACGGCCTGGCAAAGGCTGAGTCTCCTCTGCCCTCAAGGAGTAATGGTACAAAGCCATACTTACAACAAGAATGTATGTTTGCCCTCTACCGCTGTTAGCAGGAGGAAAAAGAAGCAGTATCACAGCAACAGTAGCAATACCAATTTCAATAGCAATACAGAGTAACAGTTATAGCAGTAATGAAGATATCACCCCCTGGCAGCGGAAGCCTTTCATCACAGCTGCTGCCACGTCCAGCACGAGGCGCTCCTTCGGGGTTTAGGGTCTAGGGTCTTAGGGTTTAGGGTTTAGAGTCTAGGGCTTAGGGTCTAGGGTTTGGGGCGCAGGCTTCAGGGTTTAGGGTCCTGCTCTTCCAGACTGTCATGACGGCTCAGCGCGAAGCCTTCCAAAGTGCTGATGTGTCGGTACGCGGCCTGAAGAGGAAAACACGTTTTACTAATTATTACTAGTACTATTACAATTACAATTACTATTACTATTGCTCTTACTATTACTCTTACCATTACTATTCTTATTTCTACTACTATTACTCTTACTCTTACTATTCCTATGAATATTACTATTACTATTACTATCTCTATCAATTGCTGTTTGTAGTACTATCACCGCTACTACCTTCAACTACCAGGTTCCTACCTTGCACCCCGACCCAAAGATGCCGTCAAAAGAACTCGCCTTGATCTCCTCCATGGAGATGCCGTGGCTGGTGAGTGTGTAGTGCCTGGGTTCCCCAATAACCCCCTAATACTAAGGGGTTTAGAGTTCAGGGTTTAGGGTTTAGGGTTTAGGGTTTAGGGATTTTCCTAATATTCAGCTTCAATAAGGAGACACCAAAATAAAAAGGGAAAAAGGGTACTACTGGGTACCTAGATGCTGCTCCTCCGTCCACACGGACTGGATGTTGTTGATGCTCTCTGTATCCGGGAAGGCAAAGCCATCACAGTAGAGCGGCACGATAGGAATGCTGTGCCTCCAGGCACTGGTCATCTCACCAGCACACCACATGCCTCAGCCGCACAGACGCACATCTACTTTTGGCAATGCGTTGGTGGCAGGAAGACTGGATGCCATAGTGTGAAAGGAGGAAGGATCTACCTACATGTTCTCACTATCCAGGCTTACTGCCGCGGGCGCTAGAAAGCGCTTTTCAGGGCTAAAGGAGGATGCATGGTCCAGGCTGGGGTGCGCTGCAGCAGCTCTGGCGTGAGCACCGCCACCAGGCAGCGCGTATCAGAGCTAACGATTTCGAAGATGCGGCCGAGGTCATCCAGCTCATCAGAGTCCAGAAAGATGTTCATGCGATTCATACGGCCGTACTTGTGAACGATCAGCTTGAAGAATCGGCAAAGGGCACCAGCACCAGCCTTATGGTGGCAGAGGAAGGCATCGTATTTGCTCTGCGGCCTCAGCCTCATTGTCGCAGTGAAGCACGCCGCGGCAAGCGCGCAAATGGGCAGTATGCAGAGTACGCAGGTGAGCAGCACCGCAACCAGGAAGGTGCTGTCCGTCTGGTCCAGGCGCAGCAGAGGAGAGGCCAAGAGAAGCAGGATCAGAAGGGCTGTGGAAAGCACCAGGTCGTTGTAGTTGGCCACATCGATGCGCCAAGGCCAAAGCAAACTCTGCGCAGTGAGCTTCACGCAGATCACGATGCCCATAAGGCCTACCTGCAGGGCGGGCACGGCCACCAGCGCTGCTGGGATCATGGCCACCACGAGATTGTGCGTGGAGAGCAGCAAGGCATAGTAGTAGCGCTCAGGCCGGAAGCGGCCAAACAGGAATTTGTATTTCTCCAGCACTTCAAGGCCACCCCCAGACCGCAACCAACTGGGATACTTCCAGGTGAGAAACGCGATGGCACCAAGGATCGTGACAGGGTAAGCCAAGATGCCCAAACTGCCCAGGACCACAAGCGGCGCATGCTCATCGCTCCAGCAGATCATGTCCGTGCGCGTTGCCATCGTGGCCAGGCCATTGGGGTTCAGCCGGCACTGGAAAGGCCGCATCACAGTCAGGGACATGGCCGTAAGCAGTGCCACCACCAGGACACCATGCAGATTGATGAAAGAGTTGAAGCTAATGGGGCGCTGAGCCCAGCGAGCTCCCAGCCAGAAGAGGAACGTCAGCAAAAGCACTACTGGGTAAGCCAGCAGCTGGGCGCCATACTCCACCAGATGGCTCTGCGGGTCTAGGATGCATGAGAACCTGGGTTGCTGTTAAGGAACTTAAATTAAGTTACTATATTGGGGAAACCCTATGATTTACTATATATTCCATTATGGTAACTTAATTTAAGTTCCTTAACAGCAACCCAGGAACTCAATGTCTAGGCTGAAGATGGCTAATGAGGACAGGACTGCCTTGGCTGGGTCGATCCATGAGATCTCGAACTGATAGATCGCCTCAGGGGGGATGGATGGGTGGCATTTAGGTATACTAGTACCAAAGGATCTGTAGTATACGTATTTAATGTTCCATGTTCTTTGGCATTCAAATTTCTGCTAACTATTGGAATAATATCCCTTAACCCCATGTAACCCATACATAATCCCGTAAACCCTGCATTAGCCTGTATAACCCTATTGAAAGGCTATCTATCCCTGTATACAAAACTATGAAGATCCTATATAGCCCTATATGACCTTGTTTAACCCTACACAACCCCCAATATTATCACTATATAACCCCCATAGACCGCAACAAATGCCTTACCTCGTGTTGTCATGATATACCTAAGCCCTGAACCCTATATACGCCCCACGCAACCCCTATACAGCCCCCATACACCACAATCAAAGCCCCAAACCTTAAAACCTAAACCCGAAACCCTAAACCCTTTCCCCTAAACCCTAAACCCTACTTCATGTTGTAAACTGCCTCCAAGGACTGAAGACAAACCACCAGCTGCCCGAAGATGACCTTGCTGCTTCTTAAAGGGGACTTGGGATTTAGGGTTTAGGATTTCTTAGTTAGGATTTCAGGGGTTAGGATTCTAGGGTTTTGGATTTCAGGGTTTAGGAATTTAGGGTTTACGATTTAAGGGTTTTGGATTTAAGGGTTAAAACCGTTAGCGTTTAAGGGTATAATTTAGGATTTAGGGTTTGGGGGTGTATAGGCGGGGTGGGGTATAGGTATGATTATAAGGGAATGATGTACCATTGTAGAGAGATTACGGGGAACTTGGGGAAGTATAACTATCATTATGGATTCTGCAGGGACTTGGGCGGAGTATATGTCTCATTGCAAGGGGAATGAGGTAGAGACTATGATAGGGATCCACTCCCCCACTCCCCCTTAAGCCCTCTCAAAACCCTAAACCCTAAACCCTAAACCGGCGAGTCGCGCAGACGATGAAGATACTGACCGCCACACGCTTTGCCCGGCTGACCATGATGCTGGCAGCCACAAGCAGTGGTAGCAGGCCGAGAATTACCTAGGGTTTAGGGTTTAGGGTTTAGGATGGTTTAGGGTTTAGGGTTTAGGGTTTAAGGCTGGGTTGCTCTTAAGGAGCCCAGAATACGTCGCCATAGTGGGTATATATAGAAACTAATAGGTCCCCAATATAGTAACTTAAATTA